CAAAGCTCTGCAGTAGACATGGGTGAACGAGTCTCAATAAATGAAGTAAAGTTGAACGGTTATTATTGTTAGAACTTAAGTCGGGACACCTGTCACAGGAAACCCCGCTGTTTCCAGAATTCTTTGACCCCTTATCGATAGTAAATAACGTGGATTAAGTTTGCTACAGGTAAAGATTATAGGCCTCAGCATGACAGCAATGTATGTCTTCAGTACCGATAAGCTGTATGGGATTGTTTGTATGCTCTGCATAGTTTTTCCCAAAATTGGCCTGACACGATTGACTTCAGTCGCCGTTGGTAGGAGAAAAAACAAGCTGCTGATCGTTAACTATGCCTTTGCCGTACTGCTCCCTGTGTCCTCAGGGTTTCTTGAATAAAATCGCTTGCAAATTCTTTGTGAATTTGATTTGTGTTTCCACTTCGTACATCTCTTATAAAACATGAAACGGCCGCATCACGTTATCCGGTCATTAGTTAGATTTTTTGCTGTTTTAAAGGTGACCATCATGTGTAACTCCCGACTCTGACTCACCAGGTCTGAGACGCATGCGATATGTCCATCGAATTACTTTGTAAATATTTTTGTAGGCCAGAAGATCAAAACGCCCCGGTCGGACAAGGAAATGACTATTCAAGGTTGTTTTTTTTTTACCAGGCCCCACTTTTCGGCGTATAACCATTCCCTGTCTTCATTGATCGTCCACATCCACAGTCTTTTCAAGACATTTCTCCTGAAACCTTTGTATTTCTAGAGCAGGTGTCCTTAAGCGCGTTTGAACGGTTCTAGACTTGTAAGAATAGTCTTTCATATTTTAGGTGAAAAAGCATTACAGTGTCCAGCCTGTTCCGGTGTATACGGGACAAAAAGGGGACTTCAGAAGCACATGAATAAAAAGCATCCTGGTAAATATATTCCTTTATTTGCACAGGCCATAGCGTCGGTGTCATCCTTCCTTCTTACGACACATTCTTCATTAGACTTTTTTTTAAAGTGCCGAGAAGACAGGTTTTGCAGTTAGCTTCACTTCTGACTACCACTCGTGTCCACAGGTGATGGAGGGTAAAGTGGCCTTCATCGAAGGTGTGGTGGAGTATAAACAAGTAACAGACGAATAAGCAGTCGCGGACCATAAGGCAAGAGCAGGGCACTAATTTGACAAATTAATCACGAAGGGCCACACGACGAATGTTGCTTCTCCCGCCGCCGTCGCCTTGCAGATTAAGGTTCCATCCACACTTCGGGCGGGACAGGGGATCTTGCCTTTATAGTAAGACCGTGGGTCTCCGCAAAATGCATGCCGTAGTCTCTAAAACCGACAAAACCGGTACTGTTGCTGACTGAAATAATGTACAAAGTATGTCTTCATTAGAGTTTAACATGTGAGTGCTTGCGCTTCATTTTCCATGGCCTCAACCCCTCGTGCTCGACTGAACGACACTGACGCATTCGTCTCAATGCTTCGCCCAATTTTCTTTCTAATCGCTGTCGAAGGTGGTGTACTGTTTAAGTTGTAAAACCTCAGAATGATTGCCGAGCATTTCACAGTCCACTCCATCTCTCCCCATGATTTCGTTGGTTTTTTCCATTGACGTTACCGTGAAACCGCGTATACTTCAATGCCGAAGTAGCTGTAAGACTCAACGAGCGGCCATTCGCGAGTTGTATGTTTTCTTTATTCAGTAATCACACCGCTGTTTCTGTCATCCTAGAGCTGCCTCCTATACAGCTTTCACGTACGTTGTTTCTTCTCTACATTGACCTGTCTGGTTTGTGCTTTGGAGTTATGCTTGCTCTGTTGGTTCTATCTGATTACTCTGCTCACAGTCTTCTTTGCTTCTCCTCCCCCACCCTCCCCTGCGACTTACCGCCTTTTATTAAAAAGGACCACGTATACTTGATTTGTCCTTAACTATCACACGCTTTTTGCGCCTAACCTAGAGGACTGTTGTTTCCATCTTGACTTTAGCCGGGTTGGATAAGCCAAAGACGGTCCGCAAGCCGTTAGGAGTGGCCAGCTTCATACAGTTCTCAGGTATTTTGGCACGTAACCATATTCTCAGGTTTTTATAGATTTGTGCGGTACGTGGAAGTATTTAGTTGTCGCTCACTGGTCTTTTGAACCACTAGTTCCTGTCTGTGTGCTATCGCCCCACTGATAATATTCAACTTTTCCACATGCCCTCTAGAGCGTCTCATCTCCAAGGAGAAGGCAGCTGCCAAAAGAAAGCTCCATGGAGAAGTTTTCTACGATGGTAATGTCACAGCCTTATGTTGCACTGATTAAATGACGGCTCTTTGAGTATCCCACCTTATCTGTTTTCTTTCTCTAGACGAGGAAGTCAAGACGGAGACGGCTTCCAGTGGTAAGTGCAATACTTGTACAAGGAGTTTACGCTACTGCAGCTACTGACTTTGCCATGAATTGTCTCTTGTCTTCCGAATGCTTTCTTACGCAGGCGCTGAGAACGTCCGCGAGACGCCTTCAAAAAGACGTCGGATTTCTCCCGGGAAGCCTTCCACAACAGGTAATACAGACACGCTATAATTTCTTTTGACGGTTGCTTAAGAGTTACTATAATCTTTTGGGTTAAAAACCCTGGTTCTGATGGGTCACTCGTCTTTTTCTTGACGTACCTAGTTGTCTGTTCCTGCGTCTCTTTTATCCTCATCCCTATGCTCTCCACAATGTCTTGCACTTGTTTTCAGTAGTATCTTACCCCAAAAGCCCTAAATCTAGAGCTCTCGATTTATTCGCCGGTCGAAATATTTGGCGGCCATTGTGGACTGTGTTTGCTTGGACGGCAGATGTTTGTTTGCCCTCGACAGTTCGACTGTCGTGACTGACGATGTCCACCGTGTGCCCCACAGCAGGGAGGGAGCAGGGTTGATGACTTACGCGTGAGTTAGTTTATAGTTATATTAGGCTTGTGCGGCATCTACCACGCTCCTCCTCCCCAATTTGGATCCGGTGCCAAGACAGAGCCAAGGAAACCGGAGGCGGGAGAGGGAGCAGATGGTTGGGCAGACGATTGGGACAACAAAAACCAGCACCTAGGCGCACCACCACACCCCCTGGTTTGCAACGTACACTGACCCGAGATTTTTACAGCAAGAAAAATAGGGGGAGGTGAGACGGATCCCAGATGGCGAGACGTGAGCTCGCCACAGGGCGTTCCAACCGTGTTTGCGCCCACCGCTCGAATCACAAAACCGAATATCTGTAATCGGCTGACCTAATGGCGAATTATCAATCCCTCAAAGGTAATATAGTGTGCCGTGTAGCTCGACAGTGTGTATGTAAAGGGCATTAATTAAAATCTTTGGAACGCAGCGTGTCTGCCTGAAGGTTGAGCATTTTTGAGAGCTTCGCCGGGGCTAGCTCGGAAAGGTTACAGGCAGATTGGATGATTAAGATAATTTTACACCGAAGTTCAGCACGTTTACAGTGAGCCGGACACTTTCGTTCCCCAGCCTCATTGAGTAGGTCAGGCATGGCCTATGCTTATTTATGGTCTCCATGTCAACGCATTAGTCAAATAGTAGCTTAAATGCTCATTTCTCGGCTTTCGGTTGTGCTCACAACCGATGGGACATCAGCTTGAGTCACGCGTCCGGATCATCGTTCAGGGTAATACTACCACATAATTCCTCTTAGGTGGTGATTTGAATGAACCTCAAGGGTACAGCAGGTCCCTCTATCCAACCATTTGCAGAGCTTTCCACGTACTGCTAACATCAAACCTTGATGAATTTCGTATCAAGGGTAGAGCACAGCATAAGTTATCCTTTCTTTGTCTACGCGCATGTTTTCTTTAGAATAAATACTTAAGAATGCAAGCTCTTGCTAGTATGTTTCACTATCGTCCAGCTATCCAAATGAAGTTATCCTTTATTTTTAGCTACTGAGCCACTGACCTGTAGTTGGTGCGAACGAACTTTCTCAGACGAAAGTCGTCTCCGCATGCACACGGCTTCAGAACATGGGAGTAAGTTACCAGCTTTACATTCTCGTGTTTGACCCATTGGAATGTGTTCACATCCCCTTTCTTTTCGTCAGAAACTTTGCCAAGACCTTCTGTTCTGAATGAACGGACCAGACAGGGCCTTTCGGAACTGGCCTTGACGCCCCAAAAGACGGGCTCACAGACCACACTCAATCTCAATCCGAAGGAGTATGCGGCCATCGAGAAAGGTAACAATACCGTACCTCCCGCCCCTTGTTGTTGATGCTTTGCATGCATTGAGTGATTTTCCCACAGTCTTCGCTCCGCATCCCATGTTCATCGCCAACATTATCAGAGTTTGGTCTCTCTTCTTAGAAATTCTTTCACAAAGACGTTTGCCTTGGGTTGATTTGTCCAAGGATAGACCCCTTGTTGACGCTTACCTCAAGCGTGATGACACTGCGAAGACGGAGGTGCCGATCAGTTCGCCCCCTAAAGAACCCGTCATACCCACACCACAGAAAGAAACTGTTGAACCAAAACCGAAACGTGAGCTGCTCAGAACTGCCTTGTCCTGTTTGACGGCTTCGGAAAATGTACTGTCCTATAATCTTTGTTTTCCTTCCTGTTGTAGCAGTCCCACCAGTGGTTGGTAAGTCTTTTATTTTTGGCTTTATTCATAATCCAAAAATAAACGCTGGTGTGGAAGACTTCTGGTGCCTGACTGAAACGCGAAAAACTCGTCGGAAACCTTTAGTTGCTACTTTAAGCTGATATTTCTAGAAAATTCCGGCACTGGTTCGCAGACGGATTTACATAAGTATCTAGTGGTGGCCTCGAAACTTAATCCTCATTAATTTCTTGGCTAATATCTGTACATTGCTTCTTTTTCCGACGGACCTCATCCTTTTCATCCTTATTTCTGCTTTTATTTACAGCTCGCCAACCACCTAAAGGTAATTACTTCCCATCTGCATCATGTGTAATGCACAGTACAAGTCGTACCGTTTTAGTGAAGCTTGCCTTCTCAAGCCAGATGTGATTTGGAGAGAAAGTATGGTAACCGGACGATTCACTGTACTGAAGTTATAACTTGCCTGGCTAGTCACTTGGTGGCATTTACTAATCTAGTAGAATTGTACCACAGAATCCAGGCTTTCCTCTTTGCCTTGGAGATCCGGTTGCGTAGAAAGGGAGACTGAAATGATATTTTGCAGTCGTCATTCAGCGTCGACCCAACTACATGCCGAGAAGACCAGAACCAACTGACAGAGCCTCTGGCTCAGTGACCATCTGCACCCGGGTTTCAGCCTCAGGTCTTCTTGGCCTGCGCTTGTGATCTAGCTAATGTACCCCTCCAAGCCATCCAGAAATGACCACTCCAGTCTTACCTGTAAATGGCAATAATGCTTCTTGGACCTAAACACTCTTTGTGCGCAACGGGGAAAGAACTTATGTCCGATCTAAAACTAAGCAACGTTCGGCACATCGACTCGAAAGGTAGGTTGTCCGTCACAAGGTAGGCCATAGGATGGTCCTCATGAACCCGCAAAAGTTAGATACCGTGAACCCCTGGCTCTGCGAGGTACAAATTTGGGCGATGAAGCTACCGGCTTCCTTTCATAGTGTATTTGTCGTCAATCTATCCTGTATCATATTCCTTCCTTCGAACTTCCTTTTTAGCAGTTTTCATACCGCAAGTGGTCAAGCGTAAGTCTCCTTCCTTTTCTTGCATCAATACTCAACCACTGCAATTACCACTAGAGTTATTATCGTTTGCTGCTTTTGCTTCCGATCTTTGTAACGCTCACTAGTTACTACTTTTATGTACACCTTTTTTTCTAGCAGAGAAGATAATCGAACGTACGTTTTCGTATGCTTTTTCGTATCCTATAAGCTGTCTCTGTTGGATGACCAAAAAGTAAAGTCCTTTTCCCTTTCAGCTGTGGACGACGAAACCCGTAAGTCCCAACCAGGATATTTTAGCCATTTTCCAAGTCTTTCTAAAATCCACGAACGAGAAGCTTAGAAGGTCCTAGTTCACCATGTTCATCTTTGTAAAAGAAACCGTCCACCATTCCTCGACTGGAAGCTCGTCGCCAGTTGTCTATGTAGTCGGGTCCAAGTGTTCCAATGGTTATTCTTACAAAGGATTTGGCGGACGTTGCGTTTTTTGCCACTTTGTGCTCGAACCGTTCCTTCCCTTTGATTGCTATCAATTCCTAGACTGGTCTTCCCCAAAGCTTCAATGAAGCGAACATTGTTTTAATGTCCCTTCGGCCGCACCTAGTAAAAAAGACGGTTGTTAGTGGATTAATATTTACAGATCTGCTTTGAAGGACGGCATCCCAGTCAAGTGCAGGGCCACGTGCCATCCTTCTGGACCTAGCGCTCTACAAGCATCTGTTATGCCATGGCCTTCGCAGCCCGGTATGCGCTGGCAGTTCTTTGACACCTGATTCCCTGCCGGTAGATGCGCTTGCGCTCCCGCTGGGCACACAGGTTGTGAGTATGGCTGCCCAGTCATTCTCGTCCTCTGATTCGTTGTGGTGTTGTTGGTTAAAATCTTGGTTAGTTGTTGTGTGGACCCAGGGGGTGTGGAGTGGAGCGCCAAAGTGCCGTATCGGCCGCACCATCCACCAACGCCCTCCCCCACCTTCTTGACTCTGCCTTGACACCGGGCTCAGGTGGAGAAGGAGACAGTGCAGTAGATGCAGCATAAGTCTAAACTACTTCAGGCGCAACTCACCATGTCTGCTTCACCTTGTTGTGGAGCACACGGTGGATATCGTCGGTAACGACGATCGAAATGTCATGTCACACCCTCACCTGCTAGAAAGCGACGTTTTTGCAGAACTAACAGTTGTTCGTAGTCCGTTACACACGCAGGACCATTTCGACCCATGTGTCACAACTGGCATCAGTTTTTTAATTCCTTGGGTGCGCACGGAAAATCTTTTCACCATATCTCTAACGAAGATACGAATTAAGTGTCCAGACGGGCGTTTCACTGATTCCATGTTACTGTGTGATGTAGATGCAGGAGATTCGACTCATCAGCTCGTCCCCTAACCTTTCCCGTCTGTACCTTGACTTTCAGAGCAAAAGCCGTAGTTTCATTTAAAATCAATGGATGCTGTCTGAATGGATACTGGAAACCACAGGGAAAACACTAGGCGACCTATTGAAGAGCCAAAGTCCTCGTAGTTGCATCATGCAGCAGCAGGGTATTAGTGGAACACTTACCTGTGTTTATAGTCTGCAGGGACGGCTTTCTGTGTATACCGCGTATACTGCTTACTACTCGTTTGGACGATTTAACCATGAAGCCATTTCCCAGGCCTTTGCATAAATTTCCGAATTAAACTCTACTCCAAGGTAGTCCATTAATTTCACAGGACGATATGTTATGTATGCCACTATCCGTTATAGTAGTAGGTCTGCGTACCATAACCCGTATTTTTCGCATTTAGCCGGGGCTATCAATTGTTTCGTCTGCTGTATGGCCTTCATGGCCAATGATCTGGAAGCACATGTGAGGCAAAAACACAAACGTAAGCTTTTTTTCATTTCATTCCTCTACGTTTTGTGCCTCAAAGTTCTTAGCCTGAGTGTTCACACTTGTTTATTGACACGTTCGGTTTGCAGTTTGCATTGCGTTCATGTTTTTTCAGGGTTCCCCCGGTCGCAATGTTTCATTTGTGGGCGCAACTACTCGTCCGTCGACAACTTGCGTGTCCATGTCAAAACTGTGCATTTAGGTAAGGTGTTTGCTCTTCCCTGAGGACCGTTACGTCAAATTTTCCATGCCATCATACTCTATCCTAATAACCTCTGTACGCTTTTCAGGACTCTTCAATTTCCAGTGCCCCAAGTGCCCCCGAGCATTCTTCTACTATCCCAAGCTCATTAAGCACCTCGTGCTTTCTCATCACTGTAAGAACACTATCTCTGCAATTTACGTAACTATCAGGAGCCTGACCACCGATTCCTTAGCTTTGACTCCGTATCATTGTGCGGCCAACTCCTGATGTCTAATTTAAGTACTTCTTCCTTTAAGTCATTTTTGCCATTAGTCGCATTTATTATCTGTTAATGCATCTACCTGCTCTGTTATTTGCAGGCGATGACATCCCGCCGAGGGAAGAATGCCGTATCGACAACAGCTCTCTTCGTCCTGCCCGTAGGTCTTCAACTTGTCTGGGATGCATATTTCCGTCTAATATTTCTAATTGCCGGCTTCTCTAATTTAATTAGTTTTTACTGCTAGGTATTCTGTGTAGGTGCTTTTTGTGCATAATAAGAATGAGGAGAAGGGATCATCTGAATCGTAAGTAGATTTCAACGTCGTATCGAAATCAGAGGAGTTTTCATCGGTGTACGACAAAGAAGGTCACTTGCTCCGATAACACACACTGCCCTGCAGCTATGGGAAGGTGGCATTTGACCGACAATTTACTGATTCGGCCTCAAACACTTAAATTCAGTGAAACACGATGACAGCGCGTCCTGCAATGGTGGAGACTTGCACTCATTTGCAACGTCAGGAAATCCAACTTGTGATTCCTGAATCTCGTCTTTTTTCTCTTATGTTGTTCTCGTTTGTGTAAAATGTCACCCTCTTCTAAAAGCAGACTCTTAAAATAGGCCGTGAGCCGGGAGCAACCATCGCAGTTTACCAGCAGCACGTTCGAGATGGAGAATCTCGATGCCTGGCCTGCAGGACTGTCGTTCCGACCGAACATATGAAAAAGCATGTTGATGAACAGCACACCTGTAAGTCTACTCGACCATGTCGAACATCTCTTTTATCGTCAAGCTACCACTCACTGGTGCGTTCTTTTGACGCTTCCCTCCTGCCAAAACAGCTTTCCCCCGAACCCGGTGCTACCTTTGTGGAGCCCGATTCGATACCGCTGCTGGAGTAGAGGAGCACGTACGGCGCGTTCACTTTGGTCAGTTGCTCCACCTGAGTTTACTTGCCCTTGGCTTACCTGCGCCGTTGTCAAACCTTAAATTTACTTGTACAGGAATAAGTTGAAAAGTGGGTAAGCATTCTTTCGAGCTGGTTTGTATGCTGGTAGAGTATACGGATAACGGAATTGCTAAGTGACATCTCATGATATTTGAGCTGCTCTCCTCAGGGCGAGACATTCCAGACATCAGCGTACCTTAAAGAAACTTATGCGAAAATTATCTTGCATTGCTAGAACAACCATCCTATCACACAAACAGAGTGATGTTAACAGCTTACTTAGTCGAACGAGACACTGCTCATAGTACGAAGGCTGCCGAATAAGATTTGACTATTTGTTCAGCCTATTTTCCCGAAATGACTACCCTACAGACTGTGGCTTGGAAGGCTGCTGACTGACGCCCTAACTCAGTCCACGCAGTCTGCCCAGTCGTGCGTGCGTATGTGAGGAGTGGCAAACTGGTGGGCTGAGAGCCAGGCTGAAGCGGCTGCATCTTGACGTGACTTACGGCACACTCACGCATGTGAGATGTACGCCGCTCAACCCTCGTTGGGTGAAATCTTGGTGCTTGTGTCTAGGGAGCCAGGTCGTGCATGTGGCGCGCGCAGACAAGGTCACTAGATATGCCAGCCATCGCGCCCATTCCCCGCACCTGTCAACTGATCAGCTCGGACAGTGGCTGGGGTCCGGGAATGGGAAGATAGAGTGAGCTCGACGACTCAGCCCACTTTCCACCTCACTATAAACAGTCTAACGCGCTTGAAACTCATAGTGGGCTAGAAGCCGTGGTTTGGAAGGTTGCTAACTGACGGGTTAACTTTGGCCTCGCAGTCGGCCGAGTGTTGTGTGTTTGTGGAACGGCCAACTGATTGTCTAAGAATCAGGCTGTAATGACTCCTTTATGGCACTCCGGCTCCGTGGGGTCCGAGTCAGGTGTGACGGCACGCCGAGGCACGGCTTCGGCCGCGCCAGGTCTCTTTGTTGTTGGTCAAAATCCTGGTCATTTGTTGTTTGGACCAGAGGGTGTGGAGTGGAGCGCCAAGGTACGGGCTCAAAAGGGCCATCCACCTGCGTCTTCGTTCGCCTCCTGTCCTCTTGACTCTGTCTTGATACCGGGTCCAGGTGAGGGATAAGGAGTCTATATTCACTATAAGTCACTGTGCGTGCTGTGGAGCACACGGTGAGCATAGTCGGCACCGGCGATCGAACTAACTCTTCAGACTTTGTGTGCCGATGCATGAGACATGAAAAACCACAAGAACTAGCTCGTTACGATCTGCCGTCCAAACCAAGAGACTGGAGAACACTTCCTTTTATTATAAATGCGTACGAAATCGTTGAAAGACACCCGAGGGAGCACTAAATACAAGTGGCGCGCGAACCGATGACTACACTACGCAACCAACTTATACACTACGAGGATGGGGCTGGCTATTTTGGATAAAGAACGGGTCTACAAGATTTCACTTCACACCTGCGATGCAGTGTATTGTAGTCAAACTGGAAAATCAGCCTCTACGCGCCTACACGAACACCAACTGGAGACGAGACTACTTATCCCAAATCACCATACATACGCGAAGAACTGGACACAAATTTTCTTGGGATTAGACGTTCATTGTCGGTTTGTGCCTACATGAGAAAGGCCGAGAATTTCTGGAGGCCATACACTCAGATGATTCATGTATCAATCGGCACATCGAAAGGACAGAGGTGACCTTATATCGACGGTTCATTTGCTGCGAGGGCTCGAGTTAGATGTCAACTGGGAAACCCTTTTGGAAATGACACCAATAACTAATCACAGATGACATGATTGCCTACGTAAGAAGGAAGTGTGCCACATCAGTTGACGTTCATCCTTTTTTCTCACAGAAAGTCACTCGCCTACCGCGAGTGTGTTCAAGAAACACCTGGATAGTCACCTATTAAAGTTGACCGAAACTCCCAACCCCATCTATTTGGTTGCTGAAATGACTATTAATCCGCCACAAACAAGATTTCAGCAGTTCGTTTGTTCAAAAGGCCATTTGGGGAGCATACGTCTGCATTGAATTAATTCACTTCAGGTCTGTACAGTGAGTGATTGATCTTATGAAATGTTGACTGAAGGATTACCTAGGCGCTATTGTAATACTGATTATCTTGCGGCATAATCCTATGATATTTCAGACTCGACAGGATGTCAGCTTTTGAATACACTGCTTTTCGAACCCCTGAAGAAACCGTGCTCGGTAAAAAATGACTAATTAAGTAGCGTGCCTTTTTCCTATTGATATCTTGGCGGGATATTGCCAGGCATCAAAAGCAGCCACCTGACACTCTCCCATGCGTAGAAAGTGTATCTGAATTTGTCGATAGACAGCTGAGAAAATCGTTGTATGCAAATAGCCACACCAGCTCACGAGTACTTTACGCACACAGATTATGACTCCAAGGACAGGGTTAACTGCCTCGATAGATGGGGTTGTCTAAAAAAGTCAATGTGCCAGTTGTGATGCTGTCTATTACGGTCAAAGCGAGGAATCTACCTCCACACGTATATAAACATCATCTGGCGGTCAGGAAACGAAACCACATATCCCAGGTGACCGTGCGCCTTGGGCACAAATTTGTGTAGGAGAACATTCGTATTGTTGGCGCCTGCCCCATAGAGAAGGACCATGAATTCCTGGGTGCAATGCACTCAGATCGGGTGTGCATCATTAGGCGTATCGTCTTAAATGCCACTTAGAAAGTCATCAAGGTCAAATGGAACTGAACGCAGCCAATCCCGACGGGAGAATGAAATACATTTGACGTGTATTGGTGCAGGCTTCTGCCAAACACAGAATCTCTTCTTACGCACGGTTATGTAGCTGTTTTTATACATGACCCATATGTCTGGCGATGAACTGATGAGGTGCGCTCAACGATTGGGTTACCGGGCATGCTCGTCCCATTGTGTTTTGAGGTTTGATCGTCGGCAACGACGGCCGAACTGTTTTGTGTGTGCGTCCCCCCCTCCCTCCCAAACGGCCACGTGGTAGATGGGCTGGACCAACACAGGGCCTTATCGGATTCTGGTTGGCGTTATTGGAATGCGCACCATAACAGATGCCAACATCTCGGAGTGCGGTTGGAGACCCAGTTGCCGGCAGGCGTCGCGCACATTGGGACCCCTGCGGCCCTCCCCCTTGTTTTTGGTCAAAATCCTGGTCATTTGCTGTGTGGACCACGGGGTGTGGAGTGGGACACCAAGGTGCGGGCTCGACCGCGCCATCCACCTGCGCCCCCCCCCCACCTCCGGTCTTCTTGACTCTGTCTTGACACCGGGCCCAGGTGGGGAAGGAAAGAGCGTGGTAGACGCTGTGCAAGTCTACATTCACCATAAACTAATTCACGCACAAGCCACCGTCCCTGCTTCACCATGCTGTGGAGCACACGGTGGGCATCGTTGGCAACGACGGTCGAGCTGTCGTGGTTCGATCGTAGAGGCCTTTCAGGCAATCGCACCGCGACTAGTAGTATAGATTTAAGGAGACTACCAACAAAGACAAGTGAGACCGGGGCTACAAACTAAGGTTTAAGTGGTTCGTTAGGAAGGTAACAAACCTTATTCTGCAAAATGTTCTGGGCTGATTCCTCAAACCGTTGTTAAGCGCATGGTAGCTGTGCAAAGTAGTTAGTCTTTTAAGCGTGCCTAAAATAAGCGCTTGATTATCGTTTATGCCAATCATCGGACGCTGTATGCCATCACATCACTTAAACCGGCTGGCGCATCATCCATTTTTCTTTAAATTTTTATACGCAACATCCAACTAGATGTACCGACGGATGAATAAGTCGCCCCAGTGTAAAAACCGACAAATTTTCTGTCCTTCCCTGGTGAGGAAACACTGACAATACGCGTTCTGTCCCAAGCAAGTGTATCCGATATTCGGAGCACGCATTGTTACCCGGGACTTATGGTCTTACCTCTTCATTACCCATTGATGGGAATATGTGCATATGGAGGTTGATTTTTCAGTCGGCCAGGAGTGTACTGTGTTGTAGAATTTTGGAAAGGACTTCTTTCGTATCCAGATGGCTAACCTTGTCCTTAAGGTGTACAGACTGGGTGCTTGGTATAGTCGGTTTGTGCGCCACTTGTTCCCTCGAGTGTTTTTGAACGAGTTCAGACGCTCTCCTAAAGAGAGGGACGGTTGCCCAGGTTGTTAGTTTGACCGTCTGACTAGATTTACTTATTTTCTCTTTTTTTCTCATGTTGTCTCACGCATGCATGTGTGCACACTTAACGTCTACTTTTTACTTTTTTCAGGCGAGAACTTACACACTTGCCCAGAGTGTGAAGAAGACTTTGAAGATATTAATGAGTGGCGAGAGCACCTGGAAACAGTTCATGAACGTGAGTTCCTCCTTTGCGGCTTTGACTTTACAAATGAACCGTAGTTACAGTAACCATTAAGTAAATTCTGACACGTAGACCTCGCAAGTTATCTTCTCGAGCACGTTCTTTTGGCTCATTTGGTCTACACTACTTTCCATTCCGATGCATTCTCACTTAGGGGGGGTTATTGACAAGCAAAAGCTTGCAGGGAACTAGCGTATTTAACAGCAGTATGAGGGACGACATAAAGTTGTGCATCCCGGCCTGCAGCCTAATTTGATCTTATTCGTTACCAGAAAAGCTGAGGCTGTAGTGTTTGCTTTAAATGATGTTGTGTATGTCCGTCTGCAGCACCTATAAAGAAACAGGACTCCTTTCTAATTTAGTTGACATCCAGACTCACGCCACCATAACCGTGCCTTGTGATGAGTAACCTTCGTTTCTAACTACTCATCTGTGAGCAGATTTGTCTGCCCCAGTGACCGTATTGTAAAGCAATTTTACGCCCGTCTGGCTAATCAGATTGATGTACCACTTCCGGCTCTCAGTGCCAAATGCAACCGTTTGGGAATGCTAAAACGTGTAGTTGTGAGAACCTAGGTCTGGTGGGATAGAGATTGTTATTGACCGCTTATAGTGTAGTTGTGTTCGCGAATACTGCGCATATTTGTTTCATATGAGCCTTTTCAACCGGATTTCTGAGTTTGGACTACAGTTCTGAGGTTTTTTTACTTAACCTCGGCGGTCGAGTAGATAAACACTAACAGCTCACGAGCACGGGAACAACCTGGTTCTAGGTAGACGCCATCTATACAGAACTTAGTTGAATTCTTGTTGATCTTTTTTACGATCCAAATTTGTAGGTCAGACGATGTACAAGTGTGAACACTGCGGAAGGGCATTTGGATGGCGAAAATTCCTTCGGTGCCATATTCGCGAACATCACCCTGGTAAGCCTCTTCAGTGGCTGGAGCATGTTCTGTCTGCTACCTTTGCTGTGACCTACACTAATGTCGGGCCGCCTTAAATTTGGCGACGGGAACCGGCAAAGATGAAGTGACTGTATGTTTACACCCCTGACAAACTGCAACATTCTGGAACGTGGGATGTCGAATACGTGGAGCAAACGTTATACTAGAAATGAATTAGATTATAAATAAATAAAGAATTTTTTTATTAAAAACCCGTCGGGGTCCCATCAAAGCAAGTAAAAACAAATTTACATACGAACTTTAGACGAGGTAGGCAGAATCTGTACAAAATGCAATTCATAGTTTCTGAATTTTTAGTCCGTTCAGAAAAATGATGAGCGAGCGGTGAAAAAACCACTTTAAAATTTAAAAATTATTGGATTAATTTTACAGGAGAAAAAAACCCTCGCTAATAATAACACAAAATGCGGGCAGGATTATAATCGGACATCTGCTGATTTTCAGTAGATTGTAGGGTGGGAGGTCGACATCCGTAGTTTTAGATAACTCGGGCCTGTAGACTGAGAGCCAGGTCCCAGCGGCGGCAACTTTCACTGATGTACAATGTCGGGAGACAAGGACCGAGCTATGTGGAGGGTAGGCGAACAGCAAATATGGGGTACATGTAGATGAGGGTTTTGTGGCAGGTCACCTCTTGCATCCCCGCCCGTTTCCAGACATTTTAACTTCGTCCTGCCATTTGATCACAGTCTATGTAGGAAGATAGTGTGATGTAGGTGCTACGCATGTCTTACTGGGACAGAAAGCCCCTGCAAGTCACGGCTCTTTTCGTCAAATGCGACAGCCTATCTGTATTTATTTGAAATTGCAGGGAGTAATAGCCCCATTCGTGTATTATTACGCGTACTTGAATGTCGACGAGACTCCTCAAGCACAAAGCCTTGTTTTCTGTAGGTGCCAGCGGTTCACTATTTGGTTTGCGAGCAGACTTCCGCGCGTCAAAGACCACGTTGCAGGAAGAAGTGGAAAGGCAGCGTAAGGCTTTCTACTTTCTTATTTGAGCTAAACTTGGATCTTAAGTATTTCCAAAATCAGAGTTTGGCAAGTGGGCTTTTTTTACTTTCCCCATTCCTCTGCTTGCGTACAGTTAGCTTGGCCGAAGAAAAAAAGGCCGCGAGACAGGGTCGAAAAAGTGACGAGTCTGCGAAACATGACGATTCTCTGGACGACTCTGAAGGCAAGTTCATTGAAGCGAGTTCACATTATGGCCCTCTTTGCTAGGTCAGATCTGGTTTTAGTTTGTCATAACGCATCATGCACCTGTTTACCAGTGATCGTCTTTGGTCATGCAGACGAAAGTGCTGTCCTAGTTTGGCGCTCCTCACCCTACTTCGCGCCTCTCAGTTGTTTTAATTTTATTACCATTTACATATTTTACAAATGATATTTTATATTTGTGTATTGTCTTGGTTGCTTCAAGGCTACTTTCTGCACCAACAGCATTTTTGTGAATTGTCCTAAGTTTGTCACTTGTATAAATTTTGGCAAGCACGCAGTATGCGACCCCACTCGGAATAATAATCCAGGTCTTCGTGTAATACGGAATTTATGGGTGAGGCTTAACGTCGGAAAGGACTTTAAATACAAATTCACAGGTGGAGGAAGCAGAGAACTATTCCCTAATAGATCTACTAGATAGGTTAGACCACGGTGCGCACATTCACCATCCAACTCTAAGAGTTTTGGTTGACAAAAATAGGAATCCTGCTGTTTTTCGCGTCTGAATTCTATCTCACTCGATGCAGAAACCTCCGAACTTTCGCCATCTTGTGCTTCGCCAGACCATTTGGGTCACCTACAGACGACCTCGCCGTAGCCCGGGGCATTAATGAGAGGACTGCTGCACTCAGATCCTGACTGGTCGCCTATTACTCTTGCTGTGTTCGTCTAAACCATAGCTTTGGATGCTGTGACTTGTGTATAAACCGCTCTCCTATTGTTTCACGCAATATGGGTCCCAGGGGTTATCTCAGGGTTCACCCTCTATCCCCCCTTGCCCAACGTGTTTTAATATTGTTCGCTCGTAAAGCGCTATTGGTAGCTTCTCAGGATTCGAGTTTCCGTACTGTTCAGTAATTGACAGGTCCTTCTGGCATCAATCAGATACGTTTTCGTACTTCATAGTTACTTGTTATCCCCTGTCTATAACATTAACTGTGTACAAGGGGGTGGTTTGCCTCTTGAAGGAATAACGGATTACTTTCTCCATTTAAAGATCAAGTTTCGTGACATAAGTCGACAGATAAGCTGCACAGCCCAAAAGAAATTCCACGGACTCCTCGAGTCCCTATGCGCGGTTGTGCTTCTGACCCGCTGTGAATAGCATACACGGGGGCACTTTTGTGCCTCACATTACAGAGTTAAAAACACAGCCAAGTCGCGCCCAGCATGACGCTCCTCTGCGTCGACCCGTGCATCCTTTTTGCTTTTTTTCCTGAGCATCATTACATAAAGAAGGGCGGTCCCACGGCCAATTGTTTCATCAGCATTGTTCGATCGCCTTGTTTTTTTGTGTAGCAGTAATCTTTTAGCCTACTTCCACAAATATCTGCTTTTAGTTTCCGGTTTTGCGCTCCTTAATTGAAATTGATTGCACTGGTTCTTTTGCAGGCTATTCACAATCGATGAGTCTCATGGAGTATCAATACGAACTTGCAGATACTTGGAATCAACAACCCAATGCCGAAGGTACTGCGGCTACCAGAACCGCTCTCCACAATTTTTTGCTCTCCCCTACAGCTTTCCGCTTCACGTCTGGGCCTCCGTTGTTTAATGCTCTACCGAGACTACTCTTTCTCTCGTCCCATCCATTCTACCGTCTGTACTTGTTATTGGGCAACATTTTTAGCATATATTTTAACCCCGAGGTGTGTGTGTGGGGTGTTGGATCTCAACATGCGTTCTTTACTCTTGCTTTTTTTCCTTAAGATGCCGAGACGAATGAATTGAAGGGCCCGAAGAAGGCGATAAACGTCGATTTCTTTGGTCGTAAGTATCTTGAATTTGCCCTCATTAGGTGTTCCCTCGATAGAAAAGCGTTTTTAAACTTGAAACGGCCTGTCAGCTACGGTTATCTTATTACTGGATATTTTATCTACTCTGAAGGGTCGCATTCTCTCGATCCATTTTGCTCTAACTACCACTTACACCACTTCGATGACAAAGGAGCCCAATTAAATTGTTAATTCAACATGTAGTTAATATCGGGAGCATCTTCACTACTCGTGGCCAGCTTTTCACGCCAAAACAGTGTTTTGAGACGAACCGACCGCTTTAATGCAATACCTGCCTTATGCTAGAAGAGAGCAGGTATATTTTGCGGCTGACTACTGGAAAAAAATGTCCGGGTATCCGTTGAAGGCTACTGTAGTCCTACAGCCCTCGGGCAACCGCTTTGTCCCTCAGTACTCTTTCAGTATTTGTCTCAGGCATCGATTAGAACCGTGTGGAGTATCATTCTTCGACTATACTATCCACCGATTGTTTTCGTTTCGTCTTGCTAAATCTCGCCCCGGTATTTCCTTGTACCTACCCTTTTTGCGCTTATCTGTCTCCGCTGGCATTGTCCACTAATCGGCAGACCCATTCAAAGTGGATATTGCTACCTCCTTTTAGCCTCTGTCATCGGCATGTGTCCCATCTGCAAGAAAATCCTGCATGGCAAGAAGTCCTTGAAGACGCACATTGAAGCCATTCATCACCGTGAGTCTTAACCCATTGTCTTGATCCTTTGGTCTTTACAACTTTCTTAAGACTAAATCCAAGCTTTGACGTTTTGATGTGTCTTTGCTCAGTCAAACCCTTTAATTTTTCCTCACGGCCGAACAGGGGCGGTGACTTGCGCGTGAATTATTTTGTGATGGCACCAGACTTGCGAAGCACCTACCGCACTCTCTCCCCACCCATATCTGGTGTCGGGACGACATCAAGAAGACCGGGGGCGTGAGAGCGCAGGTGGCTGGCCCGGTTAAAACCCGCGCCTAGGCGGGCCACTACATCCCCTGGTCTGTAACAGACACTGACCAGGATTTTACGCAACACCAAGCAGTTCGGCGGGGGGGGGGTCCCACGGAGTGGGAGTGCCATAGAGGTCACAGTAGGGAGCCATCTGAGCCGGACTCTCGGACCACCGGTCGGCCACTCTGTACAAACACACACTGCGAGGTCTGAGGTCCATCGTCAGTTGGCAACCTTCCAAGCCACAGAGCCTAGCGCACTCTGATAGTCTCAACATTTATACCCATCAACACAAACAGACCTCTGTCTTTATGCTCTTCTAAACCCTCACTTTTGACTTACTAACCTATAAATGTGCGCTCTTCACTGTATTGCAGAGTTGAAGCGTTTCGCCTGTGACCTTTGCGATCGTGCCTTTTATGCCCGCTGTGATCTGCGGAAACACATTGAGTGTGTCCATAATGGCAAGTCTCTTTGCGCTTCTCACTGCTTCAGGCGTCTTTACTCCCATTTTTAAACGTCTCGCCTTTTTACTTCTGAATTCGACGAATCCTCATCCTTTTCATGGAATGACGCAGTCTGAGTTCCTTTTTTAAGCGTTAAGGAATTTTAACTCTAGCCCTTCCTCTCTTTTAAGGTGTTAAACCCTTTAGCTGCAATGAATGTGGCAAGGGCTTTTTCCTACATTCCCAACTGGCCGCCCACCTGGTCAACAAACATAAGGGTACGATTGCCTTTGCGAGGATGCGAATCCACTTTTTGGGGCTTCGTTAACCTCCTGCCTGTTTGATATTGCTCACTATTTTATTTGGTCCTCTCGATTCCGTACTGTTGCGCCAAGTACCTTATCTCCTCCTTCGTATGCGTTTTAAGACACCCTGACCACGCCTCATTGTGCATTTTTTTCGTCGGCCTGTAGACAACCCCGTTCGCTTAACGTTTATTCCAAAATTTCAGCTACGCTGCCGTTTAAGTGCAATGAGTGTGGTAGACGCTACGCCATCAAACAGGTTCTCAATGATCATATGTACCGCTTCCACACTGGTATGTTGAATTTGCTCCTCTTGTTTCTGCTCCTTTGCTTTGGTATTGTGACTTTTTCCGCTGAAAAATACCTAGGCATAAAGATTTCATACGGAAGCGAACGTTTCCAGATGTGATTTGTTCAAATAGGTCTCTGCTAATTATAGACCCCCTTTTTTTAAGAATATTGAATTGGCATGGCACCGCATCCGTAGGCAACCGCGGGGCTTATTTATGCGCATTTAAGGCAAATCTTTTTGGAGACGCAAATTGTCCCGACGTCAACAGATTCCCTTGCGTAAAACGGGCCAGCATTTCATATGAGTCTTTTTCAGACATCCAATGCTCAGCCTGATGCTCGACAGGATTGCGGTCAGTAGCACGTCCCATTTAACTACCTCGTTGATTGGACTACTGGAAGGGCTCTACGCGGTTTTGACAGCGTTGCATTTGCACTAGGCCGCCGACTGGCTGACATCAACTACACCGGTGGTATCTCCCTGCTGGTATCAGGCTATGATGACCACTAAATTCCGTTTCTCGGAAAAACGAGTCTCTAGATTGATCGCTGGGAAGACCTGTGTTTGATTTTCGTCTCTGACCAGGAGAGGGTTCTCCTTGTAATTGAAGAAGTGGACGGATTCCAACATTTCTGGACAAAGTTACTGCTAACTGACCCAGTGTAGGATAGCATAATCACCCGAATCGGTGCTGTTCACAGGATTATCACAGACCCTAGGTGTTTTTGTACCAGCCATAGTATCCTCAGCTCATGAAGATCTGCGTGTATCAGGGCATCCGCCAGTAAAGTCCTCATACAAGCTTGCCGATGCTAGGATGTGCGTGTGTGTATGTGGAAGAAAAACGAAAGCCAGTGTTGGTTCACTGTTGCCGGGTAACGATTCCTCGAACTAAGTACACTGGCTCTATCTCGAATGATGCAGTTCGCACTCGCTGCAACTGCATCTCGAGGACTCCCCAGGCTACCCAAGAAAGACGAAAAAGGCGGTCTGGGTCCATGTTTCGTTGCCTGCCCCATGAATTCAGTGCTGTTGCCCCTCGTCGGACGCCCTGACAGTCCGTTAGGGCATGGAGATGGTTCTTGGACTATCGGTCCTTGTCGCCGGAGGAGAGTGAGTCGAGCTGTCCGGATCCCCTGTCGCGGATGGCCACACATGGAAAGTGCAATCCGAGACATTGTCGGCGCTGGCCAGATCAGGCGTGATCACAGCCGTGTCAGGTACGAGTGCATAATCATGACAAAGGATGAAAGACGCGTGAATACTTCGAAATAATTTGCCCAATATGTATGAAATAACGTCAAGGTCTCAGTGAGTAATAAATACAGAAACGGACGCAGAAGCGGAGAAAGTAAGACTACATCTCCAGTTTAGAGGATCAGGTGAATTGTACAGACACCGAGATTGCTAGGAAGGGAGATTAACCACGCGATCCACGTGTTCCTGCTAGTCGACTTTAGCCTTTTGATTATAAACTGTTTCAAACAGCTCAAGGTCCGAGTTGTTTGCGTGCGCAATAAGACTCGGGAAGCTAAGTGTCAATGTAATGTCCTCAACCTCCGACATTAGAAGTTATACATTTAATAGCCGCACATGCGTTTGTCCAAGTGCATATGGGTCCGTAGACACAATTGGAAGATGTACAGGCGGAGTATGTGCAGTCGCTTTGACTGGAATGTGTTCGTCAGACTGAATAATATAAAACAGCTTGCCAAATGTGTCCTCTCAATGGCACAACGTAACCTCTGTTTGATTCAGCTCGGAACATTGCCAATCTCAAAGGACAACGATACTACAACGGCATCTTTCCTGACAGACTACTTCATCAATGTCACGTGGTACTAACGTTTACTGATCTTTTCTGATCTCAGGACTTTCGACAAACTATTCCGTTTTGTCCCGAGGCTTTAGTCTAGAGCCCTCCGTGGTCCATTAGGGTTACTGACAAACACATGTAAGACTCCGTGTTTGTTATTTATCCATTAAGGAGCCTCCGTGCCCCTTAATGTCGAATAAATCCAGACCACTTATACGCCGGCAGATCCTTTTCCCAGGAGTCTTCTTTAAAGTGATTCTAGGCGCCGTAGACCCGTTCTCATTTATTTTTATTTGATTTCTGCCACCTCCGCTCTCAGCCTGCTGACGGCACCTGTTGTTATTTTCTTTCAGACAAACCTAAAAGGGTTCGCGTTAATGGTAAGTTGACGCGATATCGATATTCATGCAACACCCCGTCATATGCCCCATCTAACATTCCCACCCCTCTTTACGACCCGCCTCTTGCTTCCCTTGTCAAGGAGACCTCCAAACACCATCTATTCTGCGTAAGTCCTTTCTATCTTTAAGTAGTTATCATTTCTACCTGCACCTGCTCTCGCCTCAGGCTATAAAATTAAGATGAACAACCGTTACGAAGGAGACTTACTAGGTGGAATAGGTATAAATTCCCTTCGCCAATTTTTTGGTCCTCACTGCGGTCAATAAACTTTGTGCGTTTTATGTTGCAGTTAGTGTTTTTTGAAGGTAAAATCCATTTAGCGACCTCGGTTTGCGTTAGCGCCGTTCTTGGGTGTCATTAATCCTTCCACTTTATCATCGCATCCCTCTGGCAGCAAATCCACCAGTCTGTAATTATGCATCTACCTCGACCTAGAGGCATAGTTGGAAATCCCTTTAACTTCGACGTGGTTCTGACTGACAGTTCGACCGTCCTTGCCGACGAGGCCCACCGCGTGCTCCACAACAAGGTGAAGCGGGCACGGTGACTTGCGCGTGATTTTATAGTGAATGCAGACTTTCACAGCTTCTGTCGCAGTCTCTCCTGGACCCGCTGTCAGGATGGAGTCAAGATGACCGGAGACGGGAAAGAGCGCAGGTAGACAAAACAGTCGAGCCCTCACTTTGGCGCTCCACTCCACACTCTCTGGTTCACACAACAAAGGGAGCTGGCGCGGCCAAAGCCGTGCCTAGGCGCGCCGTCACACCTGGTTCGGATCCCATGGATTGAAAGTGCCATAAAGGAGCCATTGCAGCCTGACTCTTAGACCATTAGTTGGCCGATTCAAAAACATTCAACACTCGGCCGACTGCGAGGTCAAAGTAAACTCGTCAGTTAGCAACCTTCCAAACCACGGCTTCTAGCCCACCGTGATAGCTTCAAGCGCATCAAATTGTTTATAGTGAGGAGAAAATGCGCTGAGTCGTCTATCTCACTCTACCCATTCCCAGACCCAAGCTAGTGTCCGAGGCGATCAGTTGACAGGGGCGGGGAATGGGCGCGGTGGCTGACATATCTAGTGACCTTGTCTGCGTGCGCCACATGCACGACCTGGCTGCCTAGATACAAGCACCAAGATTTCACCCAACGGGGGTTGAGCGGCGTACATCTCACATGCGTGAGTGTGACGTAGGTCACGTTAAGTAGGAGCCGCTTCAGCCTGGATCTCAGCCCACCAGTCTGCCACTTCACACGTACGCACGCACGACTGGGCAGACTGTGTGGACTGAGTTGGGGCGTCAATTGTCAGGCTTCTAGGCCACGGCGCTTGACGCACCGTGATAATCTCGGACTCGGATCGCAAATATAGGAGAGGAGCCGCATGGAGAAGGAGCTGAAAAGCACTCTTCTCACTAGCGTGGGAAGTGGCAATTGGACGCTTGCAATGGATGATGGTGTTGTGTGATGCGGCCTTGCGAGTCGCCCAAGCATCCTGCATCCCTTGCAGCCGCTGTTGCACAAGGCGGCGACCACGGTAGAAGGCTGCGTTGTCGTCGGTGGGGCGATTGACGTAGGCTTTGTGCAGTCGGTTCTTCTCGGAGAGCAGGTTGCTGATGGCGGCGCCGTTGTCATCGAACCAGTCTTGGTGTTGGTGACGTGTGCGACCGAGGACAGCCACTGGAATGTCTAGTTAATTACCGAAATGGAGATGGTGGGTAGAGAACGACAACAAAGCAATGTTCACCTTACCTGAGGGCAGCTTATCTCGAGGTCTCCTGCGAGGCTGTAGGCGAATCCTCATTTCGGAGATGACGAGACGATGGTCGGTCCATCCGTCGACATCCGGAATCACCTTTGTCTCGAACACATCCCGCTGGTCTCACCTCCGGACGAGGACATAGTCCAGCAGGTGTCAGCGTCGCGACCGCGGGTGCATCCAGGTGGCCTTCTGGCGTCGGAAGGCAGAAGGTGTTGGTCAGGATGAGGCGGTGTTCTGCGCAGGTTCGTGGGAGTAGGCCGTTGTCATTGGAGCCGTCGAGACCATGGAGACCCGCACCCCCCTTCGGGCAGCATGGTCTGTGCCGACACGGTCGTTGAAGTCACCAAGGGCAGTCAACTTATCTGCCTTCGGCAGAGTCGCCAGGACGTATTTCCTGAGGGAGTCACGCACAAAAGTTTGGTGTGGAAATATTTGCTATCCCATCTATCGGGCGTCACATTGAGACAAACTCTTGGCTAAAGATACGAACATCTTTCTTTTAACTTGTAGAACAGCCATCCCCAGCCCAACCTGCCCCCGAAGTCGCTCAGGCCTTCCCAACGTCACAGTCAGAAATTTATATAATTGGCAATCAGATCTACTTTGCAGAAAATCTTGTCTCCGTCGCTGCAGGTATGCAATCTTCCCTTTTACCATCTTAACTCACGCAGCTATTCTTTTTCCATGTCTAAGGATTATTCATAAACATTTTTTGTTCTCAACTGCAGTTGACAGCACCAGTGACGGAACCGTTGACCCTTCCACTCTTTACGAGACCATACAAATTGACGGTCAGCCAACCACAATTGCCTTTGAGCAACCCACAGATGGTGTTCGTACGTGCTCTTTCCCTTCATTGTTCTCTCTTTGAAAGACGAACCCCCGTCAATTACTGCAAAATTAGCCTTTTCTGTTACAAGTGCCGGCCTCAAAACCACTACTCCTTCACAATGCGCATTTACTGGTGCAAAAAAAAATGGTTCTTGAAGCCGACATCACTTGCAAAATGGAAACTTGATTCGTTTAGTGACATACTGTATATTGATGTGAGTTCTGGATCGCTAGTCGCGGAGATCATGTGGCGCGCAGGTCAAGCGAGAACTTCGTGTTCCCCAACGTGATGTACACTAGGGTTAATGACGGTTCGAAACTTTGCGACCCCATGTCGAACTCTTATTCACTGTCGACAACCTAGTAGCCTTATCGATCTCATGGTTCCTTTTCCTCTAAAGTCACCACCTAAGCGTCGAGGGGCACGTTATATCGGATAAAAGGCTCTTTATATCTGTCAATAACCGTCGGCCTTCTTGTTAGACGGATCACTCAGTTTAATAACTGCTACACTTTTGATTTGTTTGGGTGGTTTTGTCTATCGCGATCTTGTTTAACTTTTTCAGAAGCTGCCGGCTATGTAACTGGTACGTGACTTATCAAGGCATTTCCCACGTTTTTCCTACGTTGCCTTACTCATCCACTCGACTCGTTTCGGAGTTATAGAACTCTTGAGTTTACTTTGAACTTCTCCTCTTACCTAGACCAAAGCCCTTGGTGTCAGTAGCTCACAGAGAAGGTGAAAGCCCGCCCTTTAACTTCTTTTACGGTTTTTTGTTTCTTTTTCTTTTCAGATGGTAGTGTCGGTCCCCTAATCGCTTTGGATGTCAACAATTCAGGTTAGTTTTAAACCCTTTTGGTAAAGTTGACGCTATACCCCACCCCACCGCTTTTGGCTACACCTGTTTCCCATTTTGGACTTTTGTCACCAATCCTCGGCACTGGGGAATTCGGGAGCACCTACGGTCACCCTGATCTCCTCAAACTAGTGCATAACAGTCCGCAAATAAGGCACATTGGCATCGCACCATCGTTGCCTTCTGACCTAACATTGCGAATAAGTGCACACTTTCAAGCGTTCCGTTCGATTCGACTGCATTATCATTAGTGAAAGTACACATTGGTCAGCGGTTTATACCGCAACCGGTACTAGTTAAACTTTCCTCATTGGCTTCTGATATGCATGCACATCTTCGTTATTGTAGAAACCATTCTGCATACGGAAGATTTGGAGCATCAGACCGTACTTGCTGGAGGTACTTTATCCCTTGGATATTGCTTGCAGTCCTTTCAACCTTCTTTTATATCCGCTCAAAATTTCCGCCTTGTGTTTAGCAAAGCCACAGACCGTGTTAACTACCGCTGCCCAAGTGGAAGGGGCCGAGGCGACGCACACTCTTCAGCCGGCTTTGATCCAAGGTCCCGACGGCGTGAGCATGCAGCAGGTCTATCTTGCCTACCAACCCTACTAATCGACGTCTGCGCCTCTTGTTGACCCAGAATAACCTTTTCGGTCGCGCGCGTTATCTCCTTCTGTACAGATATACATATTCATATATATGTAATTAGCAACTTTGGGTGCGCATACGTCATGCATCTTTGTTGCTGAAACTTTCTGCATCTTGCTTCATGCGGAGACTTTTACAAATCGTGCTTTACATGATTGTATTTCACGCACATATACATATTATTCGTTCGATTGAATGTTTTTTTTAAAAAATGGGTAGCTAGTTGACCTTTTCATCAGAAAGGTCGTGTCGTTTGCTTAAAATTTTCGTGGTCTGGGTTGCACGCTTGAATTGCCCCGAAAACACGCCGTCAAATGTTCTCCCCAGGCCACTTTTGCTTCAGCAACTGCCACCTGCTATTTGCACACCGAATACTCTAGAATAAACAATAGCTAAGTACGAACCGCTGATGCGTCCCCGCGCACTCCCTGAAGTAAGATATTTTTCGTTGCTTGTATACTCCAGCCTCTGGTGATCGAAGTTCCTTCCTTACCTCCGTTATTGCCGGGAGCTAGCATTTCTTTCTCTGTCCCCATACAATGTCTCGTAAAGCCGTCTGCATGTCGCAGTTACACGGGTCAGGAAGTTAATTTCCCCAAAGATCGGGAAAGGATGTCTTCGTCCTCCAACCTAGCTTTCATTATTTAAAAAAATCGGAGGTTATTTCCGCTCTAAAAGAACCTTAAATAGCGGTCTTGTAATTTGACCAACATTCCTCGAGACATTGCTAGCGTCTGGGCGTGGAGTTCTGAAATCCGACTGAGAACGCTTCATGAGAGGCCGTTATGTGGAGCGCGGTTAAAACATCTAAAGGTGTGAGGATCGGCTACGAAGTGTAGGAGACTGTCATGTGCACCCAATTATGACCTCGCTAGTGGACTGCAGTGTTGTGGGGATTTTTGGGGGCTGTTTCCTTTCGGTTGGTCCATTCAGTCTGACTTTCTAAATCCCAATTTTAGTGCTGGGCCATTTATTCTTCGCATTAATAACTTCTGAGGTTAAAACCCGACACGCCATCGTAAGCATCGAGTTCTTCGGTTTGCACGCCGACTCTGGGCAGTGTCACGCAGGCCAACAACTGTACGGGGGTCGCTGCACAGCAACGCCGCATCTCCGTAGACTCATCCTGGGATACTCTGTATTAGATCATAGTTCAGTCAGAATTTGCTGTCCCTTTTGTGACGTCGAGGATGCAGTTGGCCGACCTGCAGCCTAGTTTTGCAAAAGAAAGATGGAACAAGCTTGAACCAGTGCTTTTAGGCAACACTGAACAAATATACATCCTTCGTGGCGGCACATACGGTGGAATTAATTAACCCAGCGGAAGGATTATTCGGATTCTTAGGTACGGATTTTTCGTTGTACACGTGACTTATTTCTCGAGTCTTCCCGGGTGACGCGAAGTGGACATTCGGCATGTATAATGGAATTTCGGTTCGATTGCTTCTGCCAGAACAGGAACGGCCAGAAGCTGGGCTTGGGTCTTATCAAGGCTACTTCATACAGCGACCGCGTTCTATTTGTCCTGCAGATATTCATGGTATCAAGTGTTTTAACCAACGGAAAGCGGGTCCGGCTTATGGTATGTCGATCGTAGCTTGGTCGCTGAGTGCGCGAAAACAGCCGCCTACTCCGCGGAAAAATTTCGAATGTTCGGCCGGCCATTGATTGGTCGAACGCGTGAGCAAAGGTGCATCACACGTGCTCGATGCTGCAGTACACGCCGGTTTGCTGCCTAATTTCACGCGTGTATCTCGTTACCGGCTTTTCTGCTGCTTCGTGCGTGTCGGAGCCCTTCTTTCGCCTAAGGTCGAGCCTCCATACCGCTTCCGCTCTCCAAAATACCACCCGCTTTTGAAATTTTGACCTCGTACCTCCTCTTCTCCGGTTCCAAGACCAGTTTCCTCGGCGGCTGCGTTCTTCTGTCTTCTTCGAACGGCTAGTGGTGTCGGCTGATTGTCTACCTTTGAGACGGAACCTGAAAAGCATTGCATAGCAGATCGAGTGCTACTTGACTGTCTGTGGTGAATCTATGCCTGAGCTGGTTAGCATGCCTTTCGATTTTTCTATCTGTTGTCTCCATTAACACGTCCGGCTTTGTAGTTGCAAGCAAACACTTCTCCCTCCTGAAAGTAGTATTTTGCCGACTGGGAAACCCGAACTTTTGGTTCTAGGTGCCGCAGTCGTATATCTGGTTGTCAGCCCAAAAGACGCTTGGCCGTCGAGACCACTTTTCGGGATTGTCGTATAGGCAAGAAGAAGCGTGTTGAGGTGATCCATTTTAATGTCTGCATTCCACGGCTTCTTCATTGCTCTCTTGAAAATGTCAACGAAACGTTTTGCTTTGCCGTTAGATTGGGGATGAAATGGTTGCAACGTCGCGTGTCGGATCTCCCATTTCTGGCATGTTGGAACACTGATGTAAACTGGGTGCATGTATCCATCACAAGCTCCGTAGAGATGACTTCTGTCTTCCTTGCTGTGATTTCAGCGGCAGCTGCCGCAACGCCGAACTTCCAGGAACTGGCTATGCGTCGACAACTACAAGAAACATTAGGTTGAAGAACGGTGCAGCGAGGTCCATATGGACTGTACTCTACGGTCTCACCACCCCCAGCCGCCGCACGGACTGCATTTTTGGTGGGTTCTTAACCTCACGCCCGCACGGAGCGTAATTTCGAACGAAAGATTCCTTGTCATTTATTCTCCGTCAATACAAGCAGCTTCGGGCCAGTTATTTCATGCGGGTCACACACTAGTGTCGGCATAGACCTCGCGCAAAATGTTGCTGATATTTGGCTGGAATCACCACGCCATCCTCATGCATTATACAGTCTTCCGTGATGTACAACTGCTCCTTTCTGTTCCCGTGAGGCTTTACAGATGGCTGTACTTTATACTCATCTGAAGGTCGTTCGAAAAACCCTTTTACCAGGCGCAGTAGTTGGTCTGCTGCATTGGTGGCCCTAATACATTCGGCTGTGAGGGAAAGCTGCCGAACGACACCCCTAAACACGTCATTTCGTATCAGCGGGCTTGCGACCATCACGTCGATGGACCCGGCGAACGCCCAGCCTCGCTCATCGCGAACACTAGGTAGTGGATTTCAGTTCGAAGGACCTGCATCGCTAGCAGTCCTAGTTCGGCGGGTGGACGGAAAAGAGGGAAAGCGTGTTCTGCGATAGTGACTTTACTTCCACAGCGTGCGAACACACGGTTTCCAGCTCATCAGATCTCTCTTGTCTCCGTCGATAATGCTATTCTGCCTAAATTACTAGCCACTGTGCGGCTGCGGTTGGGGCCCTAGACTGAGCACCAAGGCACAATGGGACGAGTATGGAGCGCCTCCTCCGCCGTTGATAACAGTCTATGGCATCTTTCGGATAGGGCCTGAGCGTTCGCGATTACTCATCCTAGTTAAACACCTTTTTGACTGGATTCTGAGTTGCGATGCGCTCGGTTTTAGCCATACCGAACCTGCACCGGGACATGGGTTGGTCGGTCTTGACTGAGACGTACCAATTAGTTCATCCAGTCATAACGTGGCGCACTCATCCCATCAGCGAGAGCTTACTGATGCTCTCTCGCCGACAAACAGTAACTTCTGTAGATTGATAAGGCACACAGTCCTGGTACGCGTGACGGTCGTAATGAGACGGAATCAATGTAAACTAACTGCGCTCACTTCCGGGCAGGCAGCGGGCACTGATGTTGCGCCGTCAGATTCTGTCATTGTGAATCCAGTGGTTTCCATCTATCCTGTTACCGTCTTCCCATTGTCCTCATCAAAAACTATCCTGTATCTAACAGAGGCTGCTGACGAGCGATCTCCGCATTTTTCGATTCAAACTAATCACCATCGAGAGCTTAATTGCGAGCTTTCAACTGGGCCTTTGGAGTCTAGGAGTCACAAATGTTTACAACTGAGGCGCGTGAAAGTTGGACCTAGATTTCGACCGTGCAAATGCGGCAGGTAACTGGAAAGAAAAATCTGATAATCGTTTTCGGACGGAGGGTTCAAGTATGTATAAGAGGAATATGAGGCAATGTACAAAGGAAAGCAAGACAAGACATGTACAAGCGCCCGCAGGAAACGCATAAGGAGGGGATTATGGCGCAGGAAGCGGGAGATGGTATCATCAGCAGCAGGAAAGGCTGGAGCAATGGGGAAGGGGGCAATAAAATTAGAACTCGCGCAGATAGTAAAAATCTAGGTTTCTTTGGCCGTTCCAGTAGATCCGACTCACTTCTTCTATGGTAACGTTGGGTTGGAGGCGAACGTATTCGGCTGTTGCGTCATCATAGTAGTAGAGGGCGAACTGGGCTTCATTGTCTGAAACAAGACACTTCGTTGGTGGGTGGAAAAGCCTCAGTTTCTGGAAAACAAACTATGCACTGGCCCAAAGTCAAACCAACAGGATAGCCGAGCCAAAAGAGCGCTTGCAATTCTTCACAGACATGGGCAATGAAGGAAGTGGGTCAGATAAGCTTATCGGTGAGATAGGGTGCGTTAGATTGAAATGCAAATAAAGGGTCGATCCACGCCTTTCACCTGAGAACGCAGTGGATTTAACTGACGCTTAGAAAGATTCAGCCCAGAATTGAGGGAATACCCGGAAACAAAGAAGGAAAAAGGGACCGTGCCTGGTTCATGTTCCGTTGTCAGACAGCCATTTCCCAGCGACAAGTCGGGAAAGTCTCGGATTTGGGATTAGGTCCAATGCAAGGCAAAGCCTTATCGGTTGTTGTCGGAAACATTTAATCGGATGGGATGGCGATGTTCACCGAAATCTAGGGCGAAATACACGGTGTCCATTTTGCACTAGAGCCTCCCCCCGCCCCCGGCTCACAGATCCGGAACCTCTGGAGACGATCGAAAAGTCTCCCTAGTTCTCCTCAGCAAAACTCTTTACACGTGATTTTTGGGAAGGACGCACTGGCCACTGGCCACGTAAGACAAGCCAAGGCGCTTAGGTGTTTTCAAAAGCGCTTCGTGCTAGCTTAGCAACAGGCAGTGTGTCGTTCACATCCAGCAATTATGCGAATGTAATTTACAAATGTTGTGTGGCTCACCACACTAACAACAGACGTACTACTACCTAATTGTCCAGACAGGTTTCGCCGATTTTCTGCCGCCGTATAACACAGCGCAACGGGTTCGGCATATCAGTGGGTTCGCTAGCGCTTCCAGTGGACTTTCCAATGCGTGTTGCAGTTTCCAAATTTCAGCCTTTAAATTTCCTCAGAGATTAATGTGCTAACTTGGAGTAAATCATTAGGAAGGAAGCTTGATAGGTTTGTTTCGAAAGTTTATATGAGTATTTGATCCGGAAACCACCAGCTTTAACAGGATATTCGCGTAATACTCATCAGCTTCCAATGGGCGGTCAGTTGCGTGAGTCACCATTCTAACAGCACAGGTGCCACCTAAAAGCCCATACACGCGTGCTTCGTCGATCTTCTGCCGCTGCATGACGCAGGTGCGAGGGGTTCGGCTTGTCAGTGAGTCCCCCACCATTCGCCATATGCTCTCTGATATATGTCACAAATCGTACATTGAGGGCAGCGGGCGCCCATAAGTAGGCTGAGACTTACCTGACACATCTTTGTTAATCTTCTGTAAATTGAGTCGAACCGAAAGGTAGCGACAAAGGTGGTCGACTAAAAGATAAAAGAATAGCTTTGCTGAGAAAAACGTGGATGAAAAAAAACATGGCAGAAAGGGAAGGAGAACACATTGATAATGGTTTATTGTACAGATCTATGTGTACTACTAGTTCTTTAGAACTGGCTGCGCTCGTAATTCGAACAACAATAGTCACAGAGGCACTTGACACGCGTCGTGTGTCGACGCGGGACCTAAGAAAGGGTCCTACATGTAGAGGAAATGTATTGTGGGGAGTTGGGTTTGAAAATGAATTTTTTCCTACTTATAGATTTCTATTTTGCTGAAGGTTTCGCACCGTGAAACACGTTAGACTGGCTCTTCGACCTGCATTAACCGCTGCGGGTGAGGGGAATCTAAGGCAGTCGGCGCCAGCTCTAAATAATGACTCCCAAGATAGGAAAAATATAAGAATTACTCGTAGTGATGGAGGGTGCCTTTAAATACTTCACAGCTGGAGCCAGACCACAACAGGAACCCTCGCTGACTTCCGCTGAGTGGGCCCGCGGGCTGGAGGCGTTAGTCCGCTGACCGTCCTCTTGATCGGAGGAGTAGCTGTTAAAATTGGTTGTAGGTTGGCCGTTCGTCTTGAGACGTGGTGGATGTGGAAGAGGGTACGGACGTAGGAGGAGTTCTATCTCAGGCACAACGGCGGGCGATTGTGCGGAGGCGACAGCGGCAGCAGAGCCCGGGGTCCTCTCCAGTCCACCGCCGCGACGAGCGCCCTCCGAGGCACAAGTTGAGCTAGCGCCACCCACAGAATTGGTGTCCACAACACTCTCAGCGTCCGAATTAACTCGCGAGTTCCGGTGATTTAAACTTCCCGCCTGAAGCAATCACAGGGCAGAAATGATTAGAACACGCATAGGATACAGGGTAGACGGTAAGCCTCCCAACTACTGTCGGCATTACTACAAAATCCTTCAATGTAAAGGAAGATGTGGGAGGGTGACCGTCAGTTAAGGTGAGCATTGAGCTATCTCTTCGGGAGTAATCGTCCTCAAGGGCTTCTAAGGTAGTAGGCATCTTTAAAGTGAGCTTCGAATACACAATGACGGTTACCATTCGTTTCTCAAAGTCCTTGCCACCGCCACCGTCATTGTGTTACGATTGTGCGTGCTGCAACTCCACCATCAACTCAGGAAAGGCCTGGGTACGGGTATTAGGGGGCTATCATATGGAATGCAGACTTCCGGAAAAACCAGGTCTAAAGTCGTTCAATTTCGAATGAGGGCAAATGGAGAAAGAAGAGGAAGTAAGAACAGACATGACTAACATCAAGTCAACATGTCGGGAGATTCAAACTCTCGGTCGAAAGTTAGCAAGTCACACTTTTAAGGCGGACTACCAGACAAGCGGTGTTAATAGGATAACCTGAAGGCACAAGAACAAAAACTATACTGACCGTAGAGGCCGCATCATCTTCACTGGCAACAGATTCGGCACTTGCCCTGTTCCCAACCAAGCGCAGTGATTCCAAGTTCCGTCTACTGCGGTATAGTAAGTCAGAGTGGTGACCTTCGAAACCCATTTGCTGGTCGATGGAGTGGGTCATTACAGCGCTCCTGTGTTGTTTGTTAAGTTTCGCAAGAACTTTGTCCTGCTGTGCCTCGTACTCCTAAAGAGAAGTGCAGCCTGAATAGAAAATAATCACTTCCAACTACTGGCAAAAGTACTAATCTGTCAAAAAAAACGACCAAAAAACCATTTCTAACAAGACAGAGAAGCTTCAAATCTCATTCACACACCTCTCGACTGGGATAAATCTTAGCAATCAGGGCATCGAAATTCGGATCCCGCCGAAGAGAACGCTTTGAAACGAGCTTTTTCCTACACGTGGGGCATTCTTTGTTTCCACTCCGTAAGGCAGTTACGATGCACTCGGAGCAAAAGCGATGCAGGCACTCCTTGGTCGTCATTGTAACCTTGAGGATGTCCAGGCAAATTGGACACATCAGCTCGCTTTGCAGACTTCGGGGGCTAACAGCGATCTCAGTTCCATCGGTGATAGGTTCTTGTGGTTTGCGTTGCAGCTCGTAAAGGGTTAACTCCCAATTTTTCATGGGAGCATTTTCCATAGCCATAAGATGCTGAATTCAGAAAGAGGCAGACTAATGTTGGTTACAGTCTTCGAGGTATTATAGATATAGTTCGGAAAAAGCGGAAAAATCATGAATTGTAAGTGCATTACAAGATCCCCCGCTCACTGGTCAGTAACGCTGCTACTAAACCATAGCCAGGACTGCTATTGTATCGCTTCGAGTCCTTTTCCTAGGCATTTTTCTCTCGACATCTATGCTATTTTCTGTCGCTGAATTAACTCCGCCAGCTTGTACAATCGTATCCGGCAATCATGGTTGTTCTAAATCCGGTCTTGAAAGAAATACTCCAAAATAGATTGATAAAAGCGGATTTTCATGTGCAATCAAAGCACGCAAACGAAGGAGGACATGGAAGATGGACATTTTACAAGTCAGTTGTATCAATAGATGGTGCTAAAGAGTAACGCAAGCCAAAAAGTGAGTCGGTGTCATAAAAACGGTCCAGAGTCTCAGAATTACCGGTCTTGAAGGCGGTTGATTCCAATCAAATTAACTACTTTTCGAAGTAGGCCGCTGTTTAATATCTAGGGCAAGGTCGCCCATGCACAAAACAGTAGCATTAATGGATCGGCTTCGTTTCAGTAACTCCAAGCCATGACACATGGATAATCCGACAAAATTGATCGAGTACGGGAAAAGTAGAATGAACTTGGCATCCAACAGTTCGAGTGACATCTCCCGCTGAACGGGTTAGTTGAAAAACGTCAGAATGCCTTCTGAGAGCCGCAAAGTATATTTTCCATAGTCTGCCGGGATGGCGTATCATTCGGTTTTTGTTGATTCGTTGTTGGAAATAACGAAAAGGGTTAAAAGGTGGTGAATAAAGCTTGTTCTCGAGCGTCTCCGCCCTAATTGGACTGTGATGAGCATGCATAGATGCGACGGCCGAATGGTTGCTAGAGACCGTCCTTCACCCAAAGTCAGCCTTACTAACGAGAACGTAGGCATCCTATATTGACTAGCTAAAATGCAAAATACAATCAACCAACAGATTGGAGACCGCAAGGTTCAGAGCTATTTCTCGACCGCCCAAGGAGGCGTCTTCTTCAGGAGGAAGTTTGGCCTGTAGGACGCACTTACAGTACGTGACCTATCTCATGAAATATGGTAACGGAAACTGATTAGAGAATTTTTAGACGCCTTTAACGTTGCGCATTTTGTTCGCCCACCCATATCCTTCAATGAAATGTCCTTTTCTTATTCAGAAATTGTTTGAGTAACTATATCAAGCAAAATGTCAGTAAATTTTAGCGGAAATAGACGTTGGGATATATTCGTGCAATTTCCTACGCTAATACATGTCATGGACTCCAGTTACGCATCTGACCGACTTTTTCATTGAAAGGATAGTAATTTACCCGCTAGTTTTAAAAAACAGACTTAGCCGGACTAGAAATTTTATTTAATGTCCGATGTTGACCATGCTATCAATTTCCTAACAAAATGGTTATTTTAAGAAAACCAGATGTTTTATAAAGTCCTTTAGGTCAAATTAGCAGATCTGGGCGAATTGGTGTCCTAAAGTGTAATAATAACGCAGATAGAGATTCCTTCGTTTAAGTGGGTTGAAATTTTTTTGCCGTTTGGAAAATTCTACCTGACGTCACATAGATGACCACCACATAATGGTCATTTCCAGCTTTAAACATATGACACACTACTTTTCTAGTATTTTAACTTCTGTGCATATTTTTCTCAGAAATAGAACGAGCAAAACATTTTTAGTTTCATAAAAATATCAGTACTTGTATGGGCGCTCTGTCGTGCAGTCAAAATCAAAGGACGGAGTCTATCAGCGAGCAAAACAGTGGAAATGGCCTCAATGTATAGAGAAAGGCATGTTCTTGCGTCTACGGTACAAAAATATTAGTATCGCTTAAAAACGTGGAAAAGACCGTCAAGTGTCAAATTTTTACTTGGTCTCGAAATGCAAAAATGCAAAGTACGCAGAGATCCTTCAACGGGGTGCAGTAATAAAGCACTTCCTAAAGAGGTAACTTATTAAGGAAAGTTTTCTTATTGGTCTAAGGCATATTCGTTGGTGACTTTCGTTGTGGACAGTCATTTTTCTCGAAAATGAAGTTGGATGTTTAAATGAGTCTTCAAATGTGACCCAAACGACCATCTTCGTGAAAAGGAGCGCCTGAACACTCAGTAATTCGGTAAATGCCTTCAAGAACAATCTTATTTTAAAGTTCTCAACAGACAGGTAATTCAGAATCTGTCTTTATGGGCGATCGGGTGAAAACACTGAAAATCATTAAGTATTCAGCAATATTTCGAGGCCGAACTGAAACTCAGCGTAGTCCAAAACGAAAGAAGAATATAAATTAATTTAACAGGAGAAAAGTTCTCTCTATAAACACAAAATGGTATGTTTACGATCACGCTTATCAGTTCTATTTAAATTTATTAGGCACCGACCGGCCTCATGGCATGTCACCTAATGAAAACTTTTGTTCCCACGACGTCCCCATCGGCGAAATCAAGCAAAATCCAGATTCTTTTGTTGAACCCCATCTCATTTAACTTTAAATCGTTAATGAAATCATGAAACACTGAAAAACTGTTTTGGAATCTACACCCAGAATGTAGGCAATTGACAAACCGTCATATATGAAGTCACACTCCTTATTAAACGATATTTAGATGTAAACTTCGCTGAAACGCTGTTATTGGACGTGATTTCATGTCTACTTTCATATTTACTACGTGTTTGGTATGAGAATACATTCTATACATCTAAAAACTAACTTTACTTAATTAGAGCCATTTCTGACGTTTTCGGGATATTGCGCTTTTCAAAATAAATCGACATTTCTAAACAACACAACACTGCTCATAATATTTCTTTTACGTTTTTAATTCTTTTAAACTTGTACTTAATTAACATAGACATTTGTCCCATGAAATGGTGTCGGCTTGCGAGTGATTGGCAGTCATTCGTAAATTTCGACACATTTCATGAGTTAGGTCACGCACTGTAAGAGAACTGTTTGGACTGACTGGTTAAAATAACCGTTGCAGCTAAAGTTAGTCCAGTTAAGTGTCTTCTGTTTCTAGTTATGCTGACCGAGTGACTAACCCCTGGGAATAAATAAGAAGAAACTAGCTAAGTCCACAAAACGACAGCCCGGAACACCAACATACACCCGTCGCCATCGTTCCATCTGTTCGCATTGCTTTCGTAGATTTAGTCATCGCACAGGCCTACTCGGTTACATGGACCACAAAAGTCTGCGGTAAATGAACGCAGGCTAGACCACGTCACCACACACTTCCCCATCAACACATGCACCAAACATGAACACCAACATCATATAATGGAGACGCTTCTCACGTAGGAAGTGTGTACATCGGATTCTTCTCCATGCGGTCTAGTCCCCGTGCGAAATCCTAGCGTGTGCGTATGGGGGCCAGGTTGGGTGTGTGGCACGGGCAGACGGACTATCCTTAACTCTGTCAGCCTCCTCTCCCAATCTCAACATCAATTAGTCGAACGGTCATCATAAAGTAGATGAGAGACTGCCGTCAATTAGTTTCCGTTCAAACATATCTAATGCCGCGAAAAACGGCCAACTTCTAGCTGTTCACTATCAGTCTGGTTCAATAATCTACGGTGGTCTATTGGTTGCACTGGTCCATGGGCTGTATTTTAACTTCGGTTTTGTAGGCACTAGGTGGAATGTGTTACACAACTTTCCCTTCGACTTTCGTTGTGAGCACTGAATTTCAGCGCCCTCTGCATAGGTCAACATTCACGTTTTTAGACAGCGAAGTCATGGCCTTTAACGAACAAAATGACAGGCAAGTAATAAAACCAGCCTAAGCTAGTTCGCATTTCAGCAACATACGAAAAACAGCAAAATTGATGCCTCATACGTAAAAAAAGGACTTTGTCTTTATATAGATACAGGATGGAAGTGGGCCTTCCGTTCTGACAGTGAATTAATCCGCGATAAATCGTATATAGTTTGCAATCTTGTTTCGGACTATCTCTAAATGAGCTCATAAAATCAATACAGGGCATCTTAACGGTAAATTCCCAATGCGGTCGGCTTCAGGAAGTAAAGATCGTTAAGAATTCAATGGATGCAATACTGTTGCGCTCCAAAAGTGGGGTGGGGTTTGAAATGGTCTGCCGTAGGAATGGGCTAAGTGGGGGACAATATTCTTTACTGTTGCCCTTCGTTGTATCCCATTTACGGTCGAAGTAGGCAAAAGGCCACTACTGTAGGGTGTGACTACAAAGACCGCAAGATTTGACAAAATGTCAAACCGCAACCTTCCTTAGTCCTCTTCCCTATTTCTTGACCTGTGGGTACTATGACGCACAAGATAATGTGTGAAGTAGACCGCAATGCAGCAGAGCACCTAACATGGTTTTCAAATTGTCTTGGAGGTCGAGATTTATTTGCCTAGATGCAGGGGAAAAAGTTTCCGTCCCACCGCAGCTGTGTCAAACGGCGACTTTTGCTGCTCGGTTACGGCCTTTTTCGATACGGTGGCGGCCTAAATAAAGGCCGAGGTGATTCTAGAGTTGGCTGCACATCATATTAAGTCAGTTCGACCAAACTAGACAGACAACGCGCTGAAACCCCGGTTCAGTCAACAGAAGCAAAAAGGCGAGTTGGGGAAAGCAGTCCAGAAGAAGTGATCACTGGAACAAAAGACCTATTCGTACGACATTTCCGATTCTCCCTCGAATCCGTCATCAGAGAGTCGCGGACAAGAGTGATAAGGGCGCAAGGGGTGCAGTGTTTATAGGACACAGTTCTCATGCGGGTACATGCGTAATACAATTAGCAGCCCCCGCTTTTATCGCTGCGGGTGGTAGTTGATGAGATGATGGCTTGTCACTCCGCAACCAGGTCGCCGATCTCTGTACTTTCGTCACGTTCGAAATTGACTCGACAATCCGGCTCGCAATCACCAGGGCCGTTGGTGCTGTTGCGTCGGAGACTGGGAGATCACTG